TGATCCTAAGATCCGGACCGGGTTGGTCTGTTGAATAAGTTTATTAAATTAGTTTGATGCTTTTGAAGAGACCGAATCGGCCAGTACAAACATTCACCGTCTAAATTTGTCAATCTCTATTCAGCTGACGAGAAATGCGGAAAAGATTTGCACAATTCTATTCCGTATCAAACATTATTTCTGCTTCATAAAATGAGTCCTTACAATTCGGGAAAAAAATCTACCCCGCAAGCCCACGACACGACGAGAAGGGGCTCGGAGTTGTGATTGCAGTCATGTATATATGCCATGCCGTCCGACGGACGCCTTTCGATGTTGCGTAGATAGGATGCAGTGGAAAAATAGAGAAGAGGAACAGACGAACCGCTCCTGGAAAAACAGTTTCAGACGAAAGAATTCGATCGGATTAACAACTAAATTGTGTTACAGAAGCTGTACAATCACGGCACTCGAGGTTTTGCGCTTGACTGGATTAGAGCAATCGCCTGACAACGGTCCATATCAGTTCGTGTTTCTGATTCCTAGACCGGTTCTATCAACGTTACCCGCGGTGTTCCACAAGGGTCTGTACTTGGTCCCCGACTTTTGTTCGCATTCATAAATGATCTGCCGAATGTGTTAGGGCCAAAACAATACTGTTTGCAGACAACACACAAATTTGGAATACGGTAATAGAACCTGAGGACGAACTATCACTTCAGGAAACACTCAACGCAGCTTATTAGTGGTTTACAGAAAAAAAACCAATGAATTCAACGTTTATAAATACAAAGACCTATCCCTACGCCACAGGAGTAGATTCTCGAATTTCCTCGAAAATAACCAGCCGCCACTTACTCATTCGAGGACTTAGTTTTGATTGTTCAAGAGGACTTAAGCTATTGCATCAAATGCTCTAGGGCTTTGTTCGATGCTGTGAAGAATATCGGCTTGCTTAGGTGAGTCTGGTCGAATTGAATCGGNGTTCTTCCCGCGTTTGCTATCAGTATACCTCCGACCCTATATAGAGTACGACATCCAAGCCTGGTGTCCACGTTTGCAACGTGATCGCAAGATGCTTGAGTATCCACAAAGGATTGCCACCAAGATAGTCAAGGGATTGCATTACCTGGCCTACGAGGAGAGATTAAGATCATTGGGACTAGATGCGGCTCAGTACCGCCGAATGCGGAGAGACTTGATTTTGACGTATCAAACACTGCAGACCCCAAATCATCCATGTCTGCCGCTGCTCATGGTATCCAACGATGCACACCTTAGGGGATACCGTTTCAAGTTAATAACTCCAAAGGTTCAATTGGAATGCCGGTGCTCATCTTTTACGGTCACAGTGTACACTAACTGGAACAGTATTCCATCTCACGTCGTTTATGCATCAATTGTCGGACTTGATGAAACATCCCTACAGAACTAAAAAAAAACAAATTAGTACACGACTATATTGTGTTAGCTTTGACCCGGATCTCTGTGATATTTTATCATTTTTTGTGTTTGCCGATAAACGATTCAACTGTGTAAATATCCTATGAGGACAAGGCAAATATGAGCTTGTAAGTAAATCGCTGTAATAAAACTTTGACTAAAA